CCCCCCCGGCCTTTCCCTCTTCTCTTCCCTCCCTCCATCCAAGGAGGTGTGAGGCCCTGCAGACCTCAGCCGTGCCTCACACTTCAGTGACCAGGTGTTTCCCGGGAGGGGACCAGAGAGGAGGTGGTAGCTCAGAAACATCTCCATCCATCAACCCCCCGTTGGTTTTGCCCTCCAGTACGCCACACGGCTGTGTGTCCACGTGACTGAACATCCCTTCCTCTTCGCCCTCTGTCTCCCGGTGGTAAAAGTAGCTGAAGTTGGAGACAATGACCGGCACGGGCAGGGAAATGGTCAGCACCCCGGCGATGGCGCACAGAGAGCCCACAATCTTGCCGCCCACAGTGACGGGCACCATGTCTCCATAGCCGACCGTAGTCATGGTGACCACCGCCCACCAGAAGGACTCAGGGATGCTGGTGAAATGGGTGTCCACCCGGTCGGCCTCGGCAAAGTAGACGGCACTGGAGAAGAGGACCACGCCGATGAAGAGGAAGAAAATGAGGAGGCCCAGCTCGCGCATGGAGGCTTTCAACGTCTGGCCCAAGATCTGCAGGCCCTTTGAGTGGCGGGAAAGCTTGAAGATACGGAAGACGCGGACCAGCCGGATGACTCGCAGGATGGCCAGCGACATGGCTGGCTGGCCCACCCCCCGCTGCCGGGCCAGCTCAGTGCCCAGGGCCACAAAGTACGGCAGGATGGCCACAAAATCAATGAGGTTCATGGCATTCTTGAAGAAGGCCGCCTTACTAGGGCAGGTCACCAGGCGTACCAGTAGCTCGAAGGAGAACCAACAAATGCAGAGCGTTTCCACCACAAAGAATGGGTCATCGAAGGGCAGACGGGGCGGGGGTCCGGGCACCGGGTTGGAGCCGTTCAGCCGACTGGAGAACTGCAGGGAGGAAGGGGTTCAGGGAAGACCAGGCCAGGACTGGGATGCACTGGGGTGGCCCTGTTGGAGCCTTAACTATCTGACTGCTCCTCAACAGCTCTATCAAGGCCCCCGATGTCCTAGACTCCATCTCAGGACCCCTGGGATCCACACTGGGAGACCTGACCTTAGCTGACTTGGCTGGAGAGGTGGCCCCTGCCCCTGCACCAGCCCTGCCTCCTTAAAGGGTGCTCGAGTGGGGTTTTCCAGCTTCCCTTCCAAAGCATGGATTTCTGGCCGTGGGTCCTGCCCTGGCCCCGTCTGCTTGCATGCAACCTTTCCTGGCCCTGCCCAGTCTCGGCTCAAACTATAGTAAAGATGCACTCTGCAGGGGCTAAAGCACTGGACTTCTAACCGAAAAGGCAGCTGTTGGAACCCACCAGCTCGGCAAAAGCAAGTGGGGGCAATCGGCTTCTGTAAACATTTACAGCCTTGGAGACCCTGTGGTGCAGTTCCACTCTGTCCTCTAGGGGCGCTGTGAGTCGGAATGGACTCCACAGCAGTGGGTGTGGTTGGGGCTTTGCTTCTGTGAAGATTGGCAGCCTTGGAGACCTTGTGGGGCAGTTCCACTCTGTCCTCTAGGGGCGCTGTGAGTCAGAATAGACTCTACCGCAGTGGGTTTGGTTTGGGCTTTACTTTTGTAAACATTTACAGCTTTGGAAGCCCTATGGAGCAGTTCTACTCTGCCCATAGGGTTGCTAGGAGTCGGGATCACTGACGGCAGTGGGTTCTGTAGGCCAAGCCCTCAGGATCCCCTCGCAGCCCTCAGCTGAGGTTGCTTTGGGATGATTCCTTGTACCCCACCTCTAGGCTCCATCCCTCTGCCTCCAACTCCATCAGCTGGATTTTCCCAGGCGCTGCTCTTACCAGGAGCTCTGGAAGCATAGTGCCTAAGGCACTTGACTGCTCACCAGAAGGTTGGCGGTTCAAACCCACCAGCCACTCCTCAGAAGGAAGGTTGGGCAATCTACTTCTGTAGTGATACTGCCTCCGAAACCCAAGGAGGGCTCGCTATGAGTCGGGGCCGACTCGACGGCACATAACAACAATTGCTCTTACCAGCTCATCTTAGCCTTCAGTTTGGGCCCTGCCAGCCTCACATTCCCAGTTGCCTCATCCTCAGGTCCTCCTTCACCCCCCACGTTCCATTCCTTCATGTTTGCGTCCTGCTGTCCTGTCCTCCACAGGCCTTCTCACCTACTTCAATCCTGCCTTCCAATAGGTCAGGTCCTTCTATTCAAATCCTCAGACTCCGTCCTCATTAAGCTATACCTTGCCCCCCTCCAGCCCAGCTTTAAGCCCCTGCTTTGTTCACCCTTCACAACCCCTAGCCTGGCCACAGGATTGGCTTCTATGTCCCGCCCACCTGCAAGCAGGCCCCACCCACCCCTTGCCCCTTGCCCTGCCTTATGATTGGCCAGGACCTCTCGTTCCTCCTCCGGACCCCGCCCAGTTCCTTCGAAACCCCACCTCCCTCCACCCAGGCCCCGCCCCTCACCGGGCCAGCAGCAGCCACTGCAGCGAGTCCCGTGTTGTCGCGGTCGTCGCGGAAGTCGGGCAGCGTCTCGAGGCAGAAGACGACGATAGAGACGAGGATGACAAGCACCGAGACGACGGCGAGCACGCGCGCGGCCTGCGAGCTCTCGGGGAACTCGAAGAGCAGCCAGAGCTGGCGCGCGAAGGCGCGGCGGGGCAGGGGGCGCTCGGGCGGCACGGCGCAACCCTCGTCCTCGCGCAGGCGCGCCAGCGCCGCGGCGCCCAGCCCGTAGAAGGCCACCTCCTCCAGGAAGACGTCGAGCGGCACGTGCGCCGGCCGCCGCAGCCGGCCGCCCGACTGGTAGTAGTAGAGCACCGCGTCGAAGCTGGGCCGGTGCCGGTCGAAGAAGTACTCGCGGCGCGCGCCGTCGTAGAAGCGGCTGCGGCGCGCCGGGTCCCCGAGCAGCGTGTCCGGGAAGCGGCCCAGCGTGCGCGCCCGCGTCTCGAAGCGCAGCCCGGCCACGTTGAGCACCACCCGCTC